ATTGTTATATTTAATTACTATCTTGATTTCTCTGCAACTGTCGTTAACAATATTATGCTGCTCTCGCTTCACTTAATTTTATTTTTATAATTTTTTTTGTATCAAATTGGAAGAATAGAGGCTAATTGTTGTTTCGTTTGTAGACATTACCAAATGGAGTGCAAACTTTACTTTCAAATATATTACAAGGTAAAAGGTACAAAACGTATCCTGAAGAATTGCGCAATTTTGCACTGAACTTACATTTTTATTCACCGAGTGCGTATACCTTTTTGAATAAACATTTTGGAAACCTTTTACCGTCTTTGTCAACTCTTAGAAGTTATTTGAGACAGTATAATGTCGAGGCTGGAATATCATTCGAAGCTATAGCCAGTGTACAAAGATTAGTGGAAGAAGCTAAAAAGAAAGATAGACATATTGTTTTTAATTTAACGTGTGATGAAATGGCAATTCGTCAAAAAATAGAGTGGGATGCAGCTACGAAAAAGTCGATTGGATTTGTTAATTATGGAACGAGCAAAATTTCTTTGGACGAGCAATCAAAAGAATCAAAAGCCAATAGCGCGTTGGTATTCATGCTGGTTGCATTGAATAGTCATTTTAAGATACCGCTCTCGTACTATTTAATCAAAAGCTCCGATGGGAAGGGCAAAGAAAAATTATTGAAGGAAGTGTTGAATGCTTGTTTTCACAATAATATAGAAATAAAAAATATAACATTTGACGGAGTTTCATCGAATATAAGTATGGTCGAAAATCTCGGAACTAGTATGAGAAAAAGTACGTCTGAGATTTGTTTTAACTACACTCATAATGGGAAAACTATAAAGATTTATGCAATGCTGGATTCGTGTCATGCATTAAAATTGGCTCGCAATACTCTATCAAAACATGACCTTATCGATGATAACGGTGATATAATCTCGTTTCAATATATTAAGTTACTACAAGAAGTACAAGAAAGAGAGCTAATGCACCCTGCAACAAAACTGCGGAAAAAACATATATATTTCAATAATGAAATAATGAAAGTGAATATTGCTGCACAAACACTCAGCACTAGCGTTGCGAAAGCACTGGATTTTTGTCGTGAAGATTTGCAAATGAAACAATTCGAAAACTCTGCTGCAACTAGTACATTTTGTCAGAACATTAATGATGCTTTCGATATTTTAAATTCAAGAAATGTTTATAACAAAGATCCTCGAAAGCATGCCTTATCGCGAAGTAATTTGCACGAAAAAAAAGCAAGGTTAACGAACTTGTAAAATACTTACAGTTGTTGACAATTAACGGTACACCCATTCTGAAAACTAAACAACATACTGGTTTCTTAGGATTAATTACTGGATTGAGAAATGTACTAGCTATCGCAGAAGATTTATTTACAACATACTCAAAGTTTCACTTTCTGTTAACGTACAAACTGTCACAGGATCATTTAGAAACTTTTTTTTCGTGCATTAGAAGATTCGGAGGATTTAACAATAATCCTACCGCTAGGCAATTCAAAGGGGCATATCGCAAGTTACTTGCGCACGTTAGTATTACTGTTCCTTTATCGGCTAACTGTACGCCGCGCGATGACACAATACTTGCGAGAGTAGATGTCAACACTAAAAAAAAAGATGAAGACCCAATAGAAATCAATACTATTGAACTTCAGACCATTTTTGATCTTCTTGATGATATTCATTTAAGCGAGTATGTTAACGATATAGTTGCCTACATATCAGGCAGTGTCGTAAAAATAGTTAAAAAAAAAATTTCGTGCGTAACTTGTTGTAAACAATTGGAAGTAGAAGAAGATTTCAATGAAACTACAAAAGATAAAGTTTTGCTAATATCAAAATTACAACGACGCAAATGCTATGGCAAATTAATTTCTGCTTCGTTGGATGTTATAGAGATTTGCCGAATTGCTGAGAGAATCTTCAGATTACAAATCTCTGTAACTGAAGAGAACGTGTTAGAAAAAATGACGTTAAAGACAATGCATGTGTTACCAAACAGTATTTTCAATCAAAATGAACACGTTTTTGAACAAGAAATTTTATCAGACCATCGCACGCAACTAATAAAAATAATTGCAAAAAAATATCTTGAAATTCGTCTGCATTATGCAGCTTCAACAGACGATGAAAAAAAAGAAAGAATAAGAATGAGATTGAATAAACTTTTATTATTCAAAGGTGTTTAGGGGCAGTGGTGTTTGTTTTTTAAAAGTACTATCACTGTAAATAATATTTTACCGTGTTAAAAAATCCATTGTGTTCATAGCATGCTTTCTTAATATTAATAATAAATGTTTTATGTTTTGAATAATGAAATTTTTTTTCGTACATAACATCAATAAATTTGCCAATTTATTATATTTATTATATTGCGATGAAGCTGTTTCAAGAAAAGAAAAACAAGAATTTATCACAAATGTAATTTATCATTTTAAAATGTGGAGCTGATTGACATTCATAACAATTTATGTAGTTAAACAGAACATTGTTTAAATAAAAATGATAATGATAAAAGGTACGGTGGCTCGACTGTTAGTAGAATATATCTTTCCGTAGCTTACGATACATAAAGTAAGTTATAAAGAAAAATAGCTCAAATGTGTTGATCGAAAAAAATATAACGCAAATATTAACAGAACAACAAAATAATAATAATCATAATAACAACAACAACAATAGTAATAATAGTAATAATAATAATAATAATAGACACCAATATTTATTTATAAAAAAAATGTGCGTAAATGGAGATTCAAACCCAGAACTCAAGTGTGTGTGTGCAAAAAGTTCCGATGCCTTAACTTGCACATCTACCACTGCATATGATAGATTTGTATTGGAAGTATATACATATTCGTTGGCGTAAAGACTGAACCTGACGTACTTGGGATTACGATTAATTATATTGAGTGATTGATTGACATAAAACGAATATAATATAAATGTATATATGAGTGCTATAAAATAGTATACGTACTACAGGGATGCGATGGAAACGACATAAAATTATTATGTCATAAATACATATCTTTTTTTTCTTAAATCATGTAGCAATAAGAAATATTGACAATAGAGAATAAAATGGGTTGTGATCAACAGCACGAAACACGCAGTTCAAAATAAGGTCATTCGTGCAATAGCTTGAAATAAATTAAATTATACCATTAATTAGTCGTGCATTGATTAAAATAAAAAATAAATAAAAACGCAACGTTGACATATTTACTTAGAAATAAAAAAAAATTTCTGAGAGGGGCTTGAACCCACGATTCTAATGCGCGAGTGCAAAAAGATGCGACGCCTTAAACGGCATAGCTACCGTTGCATACGTTACATTAGTATTGGAAGTATTATATAAACTTGTCGGCAGGGGAGGGGGCTTAGCCTAATGTACTTGGGATTAAAGTTATCGATTAACTATTTGACCATAGCTAACTCATAATTTAACTGGTGTAAAAATATTTTATAAAATGTAATACGCATCCTTTGTCAACTTTCCACTGCATACCTTTCATGTTCACATATATTGCAGCGCGTTTTCATCACGAAACAAATTGATGATATAACTGAAAAAAAGTACATTACATTTTGTCTTCAACTATTAGACAAGCGTGTTTTTAAACGATCAACGCATACATAAAAAAATTTGTTTTCCATATTCGCTTTTGAACTGCACGGCTGAGCGCGCCAAACGTACACTCGAGCGAGGCGAGCCCGCGTGACTCCATTAGTAAGAGACAGACGTGCACACTCGGCTCGTTCTCTCTCTTTCTACTCTGGAGCGTCGGCATATCAAAGAGACTGACGGTCTATACTTACTATGTCTATGTCCAGCTGTTCTGGTGTCTACTATAAATTCTTGTTTTTTATTAAGAAAGGTCTCTTGGTATGAAAGTTAAGCAGGTTGAGCCTATTGCAGCTCCATGCACTTCAGCGTTATACATTTCTTTTAATAATTTGACTCCTTCAAGATGCTGAGCTGACAAACCTGGTTTTGGACGACCTGCTCTTATGTTGCTAATCTCAATAGGAATTTTATAGAGTGCACTCAAACATAATGAAATTCGTAGCACTTGACCTCCTCCTTCACCGAGACTACCGTCGAGTTTTATTATTTTAATGATTGATTACATTCAGGTGAGTTGGCCACAGACTGCGGTATAAATTGCTTTGATGCAAAGACCATCTATTTATTGTAGCATTATTTGATATGCGATTATCGTCCTCAATCGTGCCCAGGACTCTACATGTGCTTCCTCCAATTGTATTAATTTCTTCCATTATCTTTTTTAATACTAATCTATGGCTGATTATATTGATGTCAATGTCAATTATACCTTCATTCTCGTTGGAAAACCACAGAATGAAATTATGACTTCTCATATTTTCCAAATTGAGATTGACAACACGAAAAGCTACTGGTACGTAGCGACGAAAATCATTTTGCATGATGTACTGAATGGTGAATTTCATTTTCACGTTAAGTTTTTCTTCTTCAAATGGCTTTGAATGTAAAACATTTTTCACAGATAGGTTATTCATTATTAAAGAATACTTTCTGGCATTCGATCAGTCTTCGTAGTTGCTACATTATTTTGTATTATTTTCATCAATTTTACGCTTTCATCAATGGCTTTTTGTAAGTCATCGCCATCATCTACTTTTCGTTTCCGACAAAATTTATCGGTGATTTCTGATTTTGTTATAAACTCCACATCGTCTGAAGAAATTTGCGGTTCATGACTCAGATATGGATCAAGCCAACACATCTCATTATACAATTCCCAGGTCACTTCGGGTTTTCTTTCTGATCCAGATGGCTGGTATTTGCGTTTTTTTGCTTTTTCTCCTTTGAATTTTTTTACTAAATACAGCCATCTCGCTTCAATCTCTTTTTCTATTATTGATTAATGAATATTATATATACATATATATATTTTTTTATTTAAAATAAAGATTTATAGTGTATGAATTTCATCTGTAATGTGCACTTCGTATAGTTGATAAATCGCTTGGGAAATAGTTTCGAAAACTTGTGTTCGTTGCGATCTAAATTCAGTATAGTATTTATCATTCGACTTATCGTAAATAAAATTATTTGGTTTCACGATTTGTATGATAACTTCATCAAGTAGTATATCTTTTTCAGTGTTTCCACTCATTTTTTATTTATGGCAAATTGAATCGAAGAACTATTGTCAATTTGAGGTTATCGGAACTGCTTTGCTACGCATTCATTTTCATAAATATCTAAAATTAAAACTAATGTATTTGTTACTAAATACTTAAAACTAATATACCATTTGTTTTTTTGTTTTTTTCAAGTTTCTACACAATATGGAGGAGTCAATCGATCAGAATCAATCGGAATTTATTTCTTTATAAAAACTGCCTTCTTATTTCTATTTTGTTAATATAGATTATTTATCTTTAAATATAATTATTTTGCCAGGAAACAGCTCCCTCATTGCTGAAATATTCTGCCAAGTTTTGCCGAATAAAAATAGGGTTTCGCATAACATTCTGATTAATTTGCCTATCTAAGTGTCTAAAATCGTCATCAACGTTGATTACATTTTTCGTAATTAAAAAATTATGTAACACTAAACAAGCGCTTATAATTAATTTATTCTTATCTAAATTATGAGCTAAAGCACTATTCAATAACTGAAATTTTGCACAAAGTATTCCAAATGCACGTTCTATAGTGAACTGGCTCGGCTCAATCTATAATTAAAAATTCTTTCTTGATTTGACTGCAGCAATCTTCTATTGTACGGCTTCATCAAGTTAAATCCCAAACCAAAAATCTCGTCAGCGACTATTACGAAAGGTGATGAACTGTCACTGTTAGGCAACTTTGTTGGAGCAGGTAAGTTCAATTCATTGTTCAAAATTTTGTTATAAAAATTAGTATTTTGAAAGACACTGGAGTCGCTGAACGAACCTACAACATAAAGAAATTATTGCGTATAAATTAATTAAATTACTCTGTCTTTATTGTTTTAAAAAATTTATTCTTACCACCATCACCAAGGGTGAACCAAACAAATCTACTTTGTGCATCGCTGATTGCCATCAAAACTAAACTATGAAATTTTTTGTAGTTATACAAAACACTTCCAGCATGAGCTGGTCTTTTTATTCGCATGTGCTTCCCGTCTAGAGCTCCAACACAATTCGGAAAATTCCATCTGTCTTCAAATTCCTGGGCAATACGTAACCAATCCCGTTCGTTGGGAAATTTCACGTAAATTGGCAGCAGAACTGAAGTAATAACGTAGCACGTTTCGTGTATGATTTTAAAAAATGTAGCTTTTCCAATTCGGTAGTGCGCGCAATAAGTTAAAGCATTTCCTCCTTGAACGAAATAACTGAAATTTTAATAAAAATTAATATTTATTTTTATTATGAGATGAAAATACTTGACATAATTGTATATAAATAGTTACTGTATTGTTATAGCCAGTCGAATATATGCAGAAATTGGCTCTCTATTATGATACTGCTTCTGCAACTGATCAGCAATTAACGTATACAACTCTTGAAAATTGCCTGGTGTCATCTTAAATTGATTTGTAAACTCTTCGTGATCATTGATATGAAAATATTGGCATACTGTAGCAAATGCTCCTATAGTATTCCTTATTCTCGGTACGATATGTGGCTTCACCCACCATCTCCGCAAGGCCTTCTTCTTTTTTTTTATAACTTTTAACGTTTTAAGCGAAACAAGTATAACCTGCATTAATGTCCAAATTCTCATAACTTTTCGTTCATCTAGTCTCATAATTAAAATCTGTAAAAATAAAAATATTTATTATAAATTCAGCGAATAAACACAAAGTTTAGAATAAAAAATAATTGTATATAACTTTTTTATGAAAAATAATGAGTAAAAATATATAGCGTATGCAATGCTCAGTTGTACCGCCTATGTTGCACGTTAATGGGTTATGATCCAATGAAAAGCCGAGATTGGTGATTTTATTTTCTTTGTTTCAGGACGCGTGCATGCCCACTACAGTGTGCATTGAACCTTCATTGTGTCAAGGCAGTTTTTATAAAGAAATAAATTCCAATTGATTCTGACCGAAAGTATTCTTTAATAATGAATAACCTATCTGTGAAAAATGTTTTACATTCAAAGCCATTTGAAGAAGAAAAACTTAACGTGAAAATGAAATTCACCATTCAGTACATCATGCAAAATGATTTTCGTCGCTACGTACCAGTAGCTTTTCGTGTTGTCAATCTCAGTTTGGAAAATATGAGAAGTCATAATTTCATTCTGTGGTTTTCCAACGAGAATGAAGGTATAATTGACATTGACATCAATATAATCAGCCATAGATTAGTATTAAAAAAGATAATGGAAGAAATTAATACAATTGGAGGAAGCACATGTAGAGTCCTGGGCACGATTGAGGACGATAATCGCATATCAAATAATGCTACAACAAATAGATGGTCTTTGCATCAAAGCAATTTATACCGCAGTCTGTGGCCAACTCACCTGAATGTAATAAATGTTCCCTTGAGAAAATTGAGGGCATTCTTGAGGGAACTTAAATCGTCTTCAACTCCTATTGCGACAAAGGAGCTCGTTGAAAAATGGCATGCTGCATGTTTCACCAGTAGACACCTGTGGGATGATGCCAAAAATATTATTCGAGATGTTAGGTTGTTTTCTCACGTTTAAACATCTGATAATGATTTAACATATGATTATTAATAAATTTAAAATAATAAAATAAAACCTCTTGTAGTTGATTATTTCTAACCTATCTAACCTTTTCATGTTATGCATCTTATTGCTTGGTCTTGACACTATAAATTTTGTCGGAAACGAAAAGTAGATGATGGCGATGGCTTACAAAAAGCCATTGATGAAAGCGTGAAATTGATGAAAATAATACAAAATAATGTAGCAACTACCAAGATTGATCGAATGCCAGAAATTGAACCATTTTTAAAATTAATAATGCTCACCATGTTGTAGGTGTATGTTCCATGCATGTGGTACAGCAACTTTTTGTAGACGTTACCTTTTGGATTATTGAACATATTATTTGATGTGATCCTTTCCATTTTCAGTACTGTGGAACTGGAACAATTTGTCTCTACCTATACTAAGTACCCATTCACAGCTCAAAGAAAAAACTACTGCAGCAACTCTTGCTTGATGAGCCATGTATTCTCGAATGGCTGTCATACGATTGTAATCGCTTTCCAATAAAAACTCCTACAAAACCAAAAATTCGTTTGATTCACAATTTTTGAAGAAATTATAAATGAATTTGATCTTGATAAATACATTTATACTGCCATTATCTAATCCAACAAACAGCTGTCTGGTTTCAGGACAAAAATCAAGAGAGGTTGGTGCTGCAACCATGTACATGCATACGCTTGGCCAGTATTGTCCTGAGTCACGTTTCAACCAAACTTTGACAGTTCTGCAATAGTAATTAGAAAATTTATTCATAACTAAAATACAGCAAAACATTGCTTAAAGGCCAAATAGATAAAGCAATCAGTCTGAATCATCCTATCTAGGAACTTGCAGATAAAGAAAGATTGTTCAGGTGTCATACAATTATTATTTACTTATAACAAAAAGCTTGCTGTTTTACCTATAATATAATTAAATTATATATTACATGAAAAAATAGGAGTAAAAAATATGTACAATGCAAAAAATAGTCTGAAAAAAGTCTAACAAAAGATGCAAGTGACTGTACGATTGCTATTTGCATTATAAACAATGAGTCCAATAAGAGTCGAGCTAGAAGCATGCGATGTAAATAAATTAATCGTATATACATCATATAGATATGCATCGAGTATCAGAAGCATTGCAAACACAATAGAAAAGTGAGTCTGACCTGTCGTCGCAGACGCTGATGACGCCGTCAACCCTGGGAATGATAACGGCGGCATTGACGTCGTCATTGCAACCCTCGAGCTTTGACAGAAGTATAGGCTTCTTGGAGCTGAACTTGTCCTGGTTCATCCCGGGCGCGGGCTTGATTTCGGCTGCCATTGTGATTCTCTCACCTACCACCTGCCCTCAGCTACTACTGCTACTACAACTACTACTGCTGCTGCTGCTACTACTTGTCATTTGACAGTTGACGGATTTCGAAAGCCTAACTCTTCGTGCATATGACTCTAAAAAGGGATTATGAAACTTGCAATTTTATGAAAATAAAAGTAGGAATTAGTTACGAATTATTATTAATTACGAACTTACCGAATGAAAATTGGAGCAGGAACATGGAGGATAGCCAGAGCATAGAGACAGCCAGACAGGAAACTTCAAACCACGGGTACTGCCACTCCATAGATGCGTTTCTTGCATTCACTATGAAACTCGCCATTGAACACGAAATTATAGAGATGGCGTCCGCATAAGAAATCTAGGCCGGCTCGGACGGACTCAGGCAGGCCCTATGGAGACAGACCCTCAATCGCTGTCATTTAACCAAGGAGGTGGCGCCAGAACCCGCGTGGCGCGACTGGCGAGTTAGAAAAGAACGCCACAGACGTAACTCCACACGTCTATCTAGTGTAGACTGTAGGCATAACAGCAGTAAGCCGTAACAGATGATAAGAATAGCAAAAATAATATTTTATTGTTTATTAATAAACCAGAGGATATTCGGATCATGTATAATTTTTTCATATATTATTCAATTTTGCGCGATCCATTAACATCATTCGATTTACGAAAAGAACATCAGTTTATGAGACTTTTATTATTAAAATATTTGCAGCACGAAACAGTTTTTTTGAAATAAGTATTGAAAGAAATAACGCGGAAGTTTTTTTGACATTCGAATTCGGAACGAGCATTTAACGTGGAATTTATTCATATCAAACTCAAAAAATTAGAATTACATTTGTGCTCTGGTCACGGAGTTAAACTCGACCTTACCAGTAACCAATTAAAATGAAGAAGCGCGCCAAAAAATGTTAGAATCATGATGCCTGATTAGAATTGATGATTGCTCAATATTGTTTGTTGTATTATTTGTTTTTTCTGTTGTTAACTTTCTAACGTTGAGTCAGCGAAAGATTGAAACATTATTTATAATATAGAACTGAAATAACAGAAAGTAGAATTTGATAAAGATAACGAATATTCAAACTCAAATATTTTTGTAATCATCTTAGAAATCATTACTGATTTTAATAATGAAATAAAAAGTTTTTACCAAATTAGAAAGAAGAAAGTGTGTTTCTAGAAAAAGTATTTTAAAGGAGATGTATTACTGATACGTAAAAGCAAATTCTTCGAGCCACAGGAAAAAAAATGAAAAATGAATATAGTGATTCTACTACAGAGTTATTAAATACGCCTTCTGAAAATCAAATTGACATTTCAGGCGCTAAAGTAAAGCGAAACATATATGTAGGTTATATGTTATAATAATTTTCTTTATTTTCTAACATACATATTTTTATAGAATTTTTCAGTTTATGAATAAGAAACTTTCAGTAAAATTTTTATGTTAATCTTATATGTACAATTAATGATTTAATAGATAAAATTTATTTGTGCAAAAGGAAAATTAATTCAGTGCATTGCATACCCCACTACTAGGCTGCTTTTTCTATTATTCCATCTATTCTTGCTTGTTATCTAGTTAATCTAATTTACATTACACTTTTTAGAGAAATATTCTTTGAATATAAAAGAAATTTGAATATTTCTAATTAATGGACTGTACATTTTGTATAAATTATAATAAAATTAACAGGGTACTCCTGCATGACTTGGCACTGGAACATTTACTTTATTTGTTTTGTGTATATGTGTGTGTGTGTGTATATTATTTTTTTATTAATAACTTATTTAAATATATAACACTCATGTAAAATTTGTTTCTATTGTTAGTTTACAGATAATTCTATTAAATACGAAAATATTGAAATGAAACAAAAAAAAGCATTTTCTAAAGTAAATGATAAACAAAGTCACTATAAACGGAAATTGAGCAGAGAAGAATCAACCACAATAACAGAAAAAAAAATAGAAAAAAGAAGAAAATTCCTTTGTATAGATCAAACAAAAAAATCAAATGAACACAATGAATGTATTTCAAAAGTTAACAGTTCCATTCATTTAAAACACACTTCAAATTTGCTAAATTATTTCAGGTAAATATATTAAGTAACGCTAAATGACACATAGTATATATATTTAGTTTTAAAAGTAAAATCAGTTTATATTTTATTTTTTAGTAAAGCTAATTCTGAACAATTAGAAAGAGAAAGAAAAAAGACAATTACTATTGAAGCAGAAGTTCATAATTCACAAAGTTTCCAAACTCCTGAAATGTTAAATATGAAACAAAAACATTTTAAACCAAAAGATTTAAATTCAAAGAATATAACAGAAGAGTATGATGAAATTTTATTAGTTCAGTCAGAAACTATAGTTTTGTCACCTAATTCATTTAATGATAAGGAAACTGATTCATCTATACAAAAAAATAAGCCAAAATGGTCATTAAAAATTCAGTTTCAATCAAATGGTGTTCAAGGATCAGGTAAGAAGTTTATATTTGTATTTGAATTTTTGTAAACATATTAATAAAGTTTTATATTAATGATGATATTAATACTTGAGAGTCTCCTAAATTTAATTTAGTTGATGGCATTGATTACTTCAACACTTTGATCTCTGAATATTATTTATATGAATTATGTGATATTTATAAAAATTCATGATTAGCATTTGACAATTGATATGTAATTATAGATAAGGATGATGAAATATATATGCCAACTGCAATATCTGCTCAATTAAAAGAAAATGTCAAAAACTATAAAAATATTCCAAGAGTACTGTTACCAATGAAAAATAAGAAAATAGGATGGAACAAATCATCTTCATTTATTGATGAGAATAAGGAAAAAAATTGTAGAAGCCTGAAAACTGATATTAAGAATATAAACACTGCAATTCAAGAAAATAAAGCTATACTAATTGCAAAATCAGGGACCAGTCTTGATTATAAAATGATACAGAAAAACGATTTTTACATAGAAAGTCAATTTCAGGATAACAAATGCATTAATAAACAGGACTTAACTTTAAATAAAACATCTACAGAAAAATTGGCACCATTATTTTTGAAAAATTTGAGACCAATTTCTGAAACCTTGGTAGCAAACCAGTTATTTTTACAACCAGAAATTAATAAATACACTAACAATAATGAAAAGAAAAATATTCAACTGATGGTACAACAAATTTTACCTTTTCCAAAAATAAGTCATATTGATCAAATAACCTCATGTGTGAGTAGGGTAGATGATGATGGAGTTGAATTTTTTAATATAATAGGTAAAACATATAGTTTTTCTGAAAAAAAATTGATTCAACCTTCATTCAGTTATTCCAGAATTAAAACTATCTCAATGTTCAAAACTTATCATTGGATTTCTGGCAAAATTTATAATCCCATAAAAACTGATATCAATGTAGCTTTAGCTCAATTAAAAACTTATTACTCAAAGGTAGAAAGTTTATGGAGAACTATTTCAAAGCTTTCAAAATCAAAAAATTTTAAAGGATCAGAAGTGAACATAAAACATAAGAAAATGACTTCTTGTCTAAACAATGATTCACAAACTATTTTCTTATGGACAGATAAATATAAACCAAATAAGAGTTATGAAATTTTAGGCAATGAAACAGCTGTTTTAACACTAAAAACATGGCTCAAAAAGTGGAAGTCATCAAAGACTAATGAAAATTACATTAGCAGTGAAGAATTTTATATTTCTGATGATAATAGCAGTTCATTGAGTGATATGAACAGTAACAAAGTAGCAGTATTAGTTGGCCCATATGGCTGTGGAAAAACTGCTAGTGTGTATGCTGTTGCTCAAGAACTAGGATATATGTAGGTGCCATTGCAGTAATATTTTTAAGCTTTTATTTTATGAAATTTATGAATAAATTATCTATAATAGTTGATATGATACATTTTTGTGCTTAATTAATTTTGCAGGGTATTAGAAGTAAATGCTTCTTCCAGAAGACCAGGAAAAAAGATTTTGAAAGAATTTCAAGAAGCAACTAAATCTCACAGAGTTAAACATTTTGATTCAGAAAACTCTTTTGCAATGTCATCATACCAAATAGAAGAAGCTGATCAAATTTCAAAAAATTCTCTTATTTTCATGGAAGATGTTGATTTAATATTTGAAGAAGACGATAATTTTGTTTCTGCTACATTTCAATTAGCATCCAAAACTAAACGGCCAATTGTTATGACCCTAAGAAATCCATGTTCACATTTAGTTAAAATGGCACCTCGGCAGTTACAGATTAATTTTAAACCTATAGTTGGTGAAAAAGTAGCAGTTTTATTACAACTTATTGTTTTGGCTGAAACTGGATACCAGTTAACCCAAAGCTGTGTAGATGTAAGTACAAGATTTATGATACAGTTGTTATATTGATTTTTATGTATTAATATTCAATCAATTTTAGGCATTGTGCCAATATGGAGACTTAAGAAAAAGCCTTTTGCAATTGCAATATCTATTAATATCTGATAGAGAACATATTTCATACACCTCATTAGCTCTGAGTGATTTGTCATGGTCAAGTATGAAAAATTATATTTACAAGCCAGCAATGAAAGTTGATAAAATTATAAGAAAGCAACATCTTCAAAATTATGAAATCATGAACAATCTAGTTGAAAATTTAGATAGTTTTAGTTTAGTGTCAAATTTGATGAATATTAAAGATCCAACCAACATTTTAATTAATGTAAAATATGAACCAAGTACTTCTTTAATGCAAAATATTTTAACTTATTGTAGTTTAGATGATGTAAGTTTGGAAATAGGTAATGTGATAAATGATTCAGTGAAAAATGCTGTTTTAAGTATTTGCAAAGAAAAAAGTAATGATTCATACTATGTAAATGAGATATTCAAAACATCATCAAAAGGACAACATATAATTCATATAAATTCCATTTTATCAAAAATTCCATCATTTTCATCAGATCATAAATCAGTAATTTTAGATTATCTTCCAAGTATTAGAGATATATGCAGAGCAGAAAAAGTAAGAAATCATTTGAACAATAAACGGGGCAATAGGTTTTTCCATTATTTACAAAATTCAAGATTTTTTACTGGATCTATGAAAACGAGCAATATTTTCTCTGCAGCATGCAAAATGTTACAAGAATAATTTATATATTTAAGTCTTCAATGTGGTAACAGTTATTTTGTAAAAACATAAACTGAATTTATTAAAAATTTTCGGATAAATATGAAAATTTTAATAAAAATTAATTTCATCTACAAGAGTGAACATTCTTTATTTGACCATATTAAACATTATTATATCAAAGACAATTAGTATTGATTCATAAAAATTATAGATAGGAATGAGTGTTTTTTCATTCTGTAGATAATTGACTTGTGGGTGAATTTGCACACTTTTTAAGAAAGGTATACAATTTAAAAGGTGTGAGTAGAAGATTGCTGATTACACTAAATATTATACATTTATCAATAAATAGTTATCATCTAATTTTGTAGTGACCTAAAACATGTGAAATTAATTTTATTCATTAGGTAAGTGAATAGATTCCAATGTATATCGACAAACAAAAAAATTGTCAATTGTTGAATTGTTCTATAGGAATATAGAGAAAAATCCATATTATACTCTTTTTAAATTTTACTGCAATAATTACTATAATACAAATTGATTATTGCATAATTTGAAGAAGCTGGCACTTATTTAGATTTTTTATTACAATTTTTGTACTTGATTTGCAAGCACCTAATCAATAAATTTCCATTTTGAACATATTAATTTTTGCCTCATATACCACACCTAGAATTTTCAATGGAAATATTTATTTTTAGTTAACTAATAAATATAAAATTCAGATTAGCTGTCAGCTCAAAATAATGCTGCAAAACCTTTATGTATAATTAACAGAAAAACAATCTATTCATTACGCAGTAATCTTAATTTTATAGTTATTATTTTTTTTAAACTACCCTGTTGTGTAACGCGGTTTACGCGATTTATTGCATTAATTAAACTTGTATTTGTTTATTTTGTTATGTCAACGCCAAGAGGTCTATAGGACGTATGGTTCAAAGCGATCTTATGTGAATAGGTATAATTTATTAGGATTAATTGTGGAATGCACGTGATAAAAATAAAATGTACCAATGAGGCGAATGAACAATAGCTATATTTATGCATAAAGTATTTTATTAAAAAAGATGTAATCTTACCTTGACAATTATTCGATGGTAACGCTGCAGGTAATGTTTGAAGAGCTTTCTTGATCGTTGACGCTTGCCAAACGAGAAATAAATTGAGGACTCGAAGTTTAATAGTGGTAAATATGTAACTTTAATTGAGCTCTTTAATGAATTAAAATAGACATTACAGAATGTTTCCCCTCCTAGAATAAAAAAATATAAGCTTTATTGAATATTTCAATTATATATATGAACGATATTATATACAGGCTACAAAACATTTTATTGGAAAACCCGTTTTGAACTTATTTTAAAAATGTTTTACAAACGTTTCAAATTTCAGATTGCAAAAAATGTTATTCAAAAAAACCATTTTGAAAACTTTTACAAACGTATAGCATACTCGAAATTAAAAACGTTTAAAACGTTTAAAAACTTCTTTTTATCAAAATGAGAAAACGTTTTCAAAACATTATATGTTATTCGGGATAATTAAACGATGAAAGTGATTGCTTTATGTAAAGGCTTATATACGAAACCACATAAAAAGAGAATTGGACTTTATCTCAAACATTACATGGGTAAAAGTTAAAAAAAAACTTTAACGTAATCTGACGCGATATCACTAATTTCGATGTGATAAAGTATGCGCGAATATTAAAGATTCCAAATTTCCGAGGAAAAAACGATTTACCAAAACCTCAACCGCACTATTGCGAATTCCCTATAATCAATCACGATGATACGAGCTAGGATACGGTATACAGTTTTAACGTGTAAAAAAACTGAACACGATTTCACATACTTTGATAGTTTTGTGATGAGAGCCACGGTTTGCGTCGTTGGCTCCGTCAACGTCTCTCTCTTCCCGGTGACAGAGAGAGAGAGGGAGAGAGAGAGAGATTTTTGGTGGGCGGCGCTCGGTGCCCAGCAGTAGACTGCGACAGCGAGTGAGTGAAGTACGCTTTGTCCGTGCCATCTGTTTCCTTGGTTTTTTCTGTGGCCTTTGTAAAAGCGAGCGAGATTTGATTCTGCGACGCGTGTGTAACATGGTGCAGCTGTTTACCACGAGACCTGTGTTTCAAGAAAGAGTGAAAGAGCTACCAGCATCTGTACAACCCGGGGACATTGAGCAGTTTTTCCTCATGGTTGGTCAAGTTTTTCTCTCTCTCTCTCTCTCGTAAGATCGCGTCGCCGGCAACCCGCAGAGGATAGGGGGGCTCAGTGGTTATTTCGCTCGAGGGCCTATGGGGAAACGTGGAGGATAGCTCGTAACCGTCGCGCTAGTCGGGTTCCATGCGATTTTCCACAGGAACTCGCGACTGCGGTAGTGCGAGAGCGCGATTGTTGTCACGTCGAATTACTGATTGGAATTAGTAGACTGTGTAGATAAATTTATGTATTAAACGAATTTGTGAGTGATAATTGTGTTGGCCATTCCTGCCTATTCCTTCCTACGCGCGTCGAAACGTTGCCTTTCGCGTCCCCCGCGAAGCAGCTTGACCTTCCGGGCCCCGATCTCTAAAGTATTCGTCGTTCTCCGACAACGGGAGAAAACTCATGACAGTTTCGGTAAATTCAAACCTAATTCTCGAGATCTTATGATATTTCTCAGCATTGTCGAGGTCAAGTATAATTTAATTAGATTTCAGGATTTCGATATTTACATCTGCGAGACCATTTCTGCTTAAAGTTTCTAAGTGGAGCCATAAGGTAATACCAGTATAAGAACATCATTCTTATGTAAATAGTCATGGAGGAATCATTAACTTTTATTCTATTGGGTAATTCTTCCGCGTTAAAAGTGCAATATTTTTCACCAATCGAACTCTCATTAGAGAAAAATTATATTTTGAGCTTAATCGAACTCCCTACATTCATGATTCCCAACATCGACGAACACAGCAAATTTAAAATAGGTATTATCAAATTATCGACTTACCTGTGCGATGAAATAGAAGACGTTGACAAATTTATTCCCAAGGTTCAGGAATATATCAAAATCATTGTGTATTTGAAGCCAAACAACAAAACATTGCATATAGTACATTTAAAAGTTCTCATTCAATTGATGATTGAAAAGTTCTCATATTGATTATAGCCAGCACAATTCCATTGGTAGATTGTTGGGCCTTTACACCACGCGAATAGGAAGAAAATGTTATTCATCACTCTAATCTTCCAACCCGAATTCTTAAAGTGAATTTTCTGAGAATTGAGTGCAATATCATTATTGGTATCTATATAAACGGAGAGAAGATGTATGACATTTATGATTATTTTCCAGCAGCACCATCTGGATATAAAATCATCAAAACTTCTTCGTAAGTGATTTATCGACCAGCCATAACGAAGTGTTTGATTATTTCCAACTCCACATCGGAGAATTAATTATAATTAAGAAGTACTAGATTTGAATAACTAAGACGGAAAATTAGTCAACTTCCGAGGGGAGACTATAAATGTCAGACTACATCTAAGAAGTGTGTAATGGGTATTATTAATAATTCTCATAGAAGCTATACTTAATCAACAAGACATGTATTCCAACCATCAGTCGTCAACGAAAACCGCCAGGGTTAATGCATCGGAACATTTAGTTTCTAAAAAGTCTAAAACTAAGAGTCGTTCATAGTAGAAAGTATAATGGAAAGTAACTTGCATTTTGTTGGATGCAGGGACATGGTAATAGTAAATAATCAAAATGGCTAGGCTTTTCAACTAACAAAATCTTTATTCACTTGGCACTAGTTGCTCTCAGTTGAGCGCATGAATTAGAAATGCCGCGCAGAGCACGAATGCACACATTCGCTCACGTCAGCGCATGAGCACATGGCACGTTACATATATATATGCAAGCTACTTCAACACTCACATAACATGAAATATTGTACTGAAAAATTCATTGAAATATTTCAGAAAAGCCTTGCAAAGATATTTTAGAAATGTTTGTGAAATAAATTATGAAGTTTCCATTAAAATGTTTCATGTAATATATCTAATGTATTGCAAAAATATTTCACTAAGCTTTTCAGGAACATTGTAAGAATTATTTTGTGAACAATTTTTGGACTATCGATAACAACGTTTAGTGAAACATTAGTGAAAATCATAGAAAACGTTTTTTCTGCAATATTGTATAAAAATATTCCAAAAACATCATCGCATATTCACACATACCATTCCCCAAAATATTGTGGAAATAATTTTTGCAAATAATGCGTGAATATTGCAGAAATTTATAGAATTTTCTTTGAAATATTTCGATTAAACTTTGCACAAGCCTTGCAGAAACATTACTAAACATATTTCAAAGAAATGCTTTGGCAATATTTATATAGAAACATTCCGGGCGAAACATAGCAGAAGTAATTCGTTCAATATTGCCGTTCAATTCAGACAAATTGCAGTAACTATTTGCATAACTTCTCTCAAAATCTTTCCCAAACGTTATAGAAAACACTCTACTGAAATATGTTAGAAATTTTTCGTGAGCGCTTCAAGAAAATACTTTGTTGATAAAAAGAATTAAATAAAATCTATTATAGAATAATAGCGGAAACGCTACAGAAACATTGCTCAACATATTTCCTGAAAATACTTTGGCAACGTTTATAGAAACTGTAACGGTAAACGTCCGGTTTGCGCTACCATCTCGTTCGCGCGGCTGCCTGCGAGGGCAGCACCTACCGGCACGGGTAAGTCGAAAACAGGAACTTAATCCGAAACGGGAAGGAACACGCGCGAAGAGAAAAGGATCAGTGGGAGAGCGCCTTTGACACCGCCAACAACGTGCAGGAGTCCAGGAATACTAACACGAGAGTTGTGCAGCTACCCGAAAGTCGTTAATAGCGTGCCCGAACCTAGGAGTGCCTTTAGCACCGGCAACGACGTGCGTGCGTGTGAACGGCACAAGGAGCGTGAACGTGAAACGGCCGATCGTTCTTTGTTGTTGCTGCGAGTTCGAGTGGCTAGCCGAGACGCCATCGGAGGCCAGCCACGAGGTTACCGAATCCGTCCGACGGAAGCAGCACGACGACAGAGAGAGCCTCGTCTTTAACTCGGAAGGGTGACAATCTTAGCCACGCGCTGAACTACGACGTTGAATTGTTCCCTCTGACAGCGTGGCTACTCGCATAAGATAAGCTGACCAGCTTTGCGTTATTGTTTCGATAAGCGATCGCGCGTATCATCTTTGCTCTCCCCTCACATCTGCGAATACATGAAAATCGGTAGCGAGCATGCCAGCGAATAACTCGACTGAACGATTGTAAATGAAATGACGATACTTAAGACTGTCGTGCACGTAGTATAAGCGTAAATGTGCGGGCCAAGTGCGTTGTAAATTACATGATAATAAACTAGTCCTTGTATAATTGAAACGTTAATTTACTGTTGTCATTGCTATTAGTAAGTTGGTGGACTGACACCCGTCCTCTCCTGCTCCTCGGTTAGCTAGCAAAACTTGATTATTTCGATCTCGCCGCACGCATTTCGGTACGACTGTGCATCGGACGGGACAAAGAAATTAAAACGAAATTCACACCCCGTTACAAAACATTCCACGAAAAATCGATGAAATATAACAGAAATGATTCATGCAATATTGCCGTTCAATGTTTCAGACAAATTGTAGTAATCTTTTACATAACATTTTTCAAAATATTTTTGAATAATTTTGGAAACTTTACAGCAAAATGTTAGTCTTTGCATCTAGAA